TTTAAATACCGCGCAATCCTTTATATATTTCTGATATTTAACTTGAACGCATTATATTTATTATACACTTTCTTCGCCCATTTCGACGTCATGGATCTCTTTTGATCTAAAAATATACAATGTTATTATAGTCAATTGAAGTTACACAATAAAATTATAGGCATGTATGTATATAAAATAGTAATAACTGATCAAATATACTCACACTTCTCTATCATAGCGTTGCTTAGCACCAGAGAGCCATTTTCCAATCCAATTAATTACATCTTTTGCAGTGCTATTTTGCTTTGTCGTTGTAGCCGTGATGTCTAAAAAACGAAAGGTAAACTTATTATAATTATCAAAATTATTAATATTTGTATTTTTTCCGAATACGAAGGAGTAAATTATGATAACAGTTGAAACAAAATAATTACTGCATACGAATTAAATACTTACTCAAAATTAGCCATTTGAAGGTTTTCGAATGGCTTCGTCTTTTTAAATCCAAGCCAGCTGCAATTTATGGCTAACTGATTATCAAGAGTTTTTTTCATCATTGTATTCACTCGCTCTTGATCATTTTTTCCACCCAAACTTAGTAAGTAGTTAATCTAAAATTCATATTAATAAATTTACATTTCAGTTTCTGAATTACGACTTCTTAAATTTAAAATTGAACTGTAACCCAATAACCCCGTATGAAGTATTTCTTAGTTCATCTGTGATTATTAGTCATAATAATCACAGATTATATAATAAATTATAACATAATTAATATAATGCTAAAGCATTTGTGATTCTATTATTATAAATATTCAGTATACATATGCAAAAACATGCAGTGTACACAGCTATCGTAATATGTAAAATGTTATAGAATTTTTTTTTATTACAAATAAATCTTATAAATATAATAATTATAACGTTACATTGACAAGCAGTTGTTCTATAAAATATTATAGTATGAAAAGAAAACGTGAATGAAACTTTGCTAATGTATTTATAATAATATTAATAATATGTCATATGTATACAACAAATTATAGATAGTTCACGATTTTTGCGTCAGCAAAATAGCGCAGTTTGATAATAACAATTATAATGTTTTCTCGGATACATGCAAGTGAGGGATACAAACTCAAACCAAAGCGAGTGCTTTTATTTTACTAACTATATATTCATATAAAATACCTTTGCATATAAATAATATATATATATATATAATAGAGATATTGACGTACGGCAGGATTAATGTACGATTCTTGTTTTTAATACATGAACGCTAAAGAGGCCTCAACTATAAAGTACTTTATTATTATTAGAAAAATAATCCATTAACAAAAGCTTCGAGAAAATAAAGAATTTTCAAATAAATTTTCAAAAATCGGCCGATTTCATATTTACTGACTCGAAAATAAAGAATTAAATTATTCCAGCTAGAAATTTCATAAATTATGAGATGAGATGTGACGTGTGTTATTAAAGCCGTATTTTCGTATATAAAAATTTATTTTAATAAAAAGTAGAAGTCATTTTGATATTGTGTTTTATTTGGACCTCTTCTCGTTGTCTTAAAAAGAATCGTTAATTGAGAACGTTATGCCTGCAACATCAGCTTATAAATAATTGTATTATTTTATTTGTAAACAATGATCTTTATTACGGATAATATTGCAACACTTAAGATTCTATTTAAAAGTTGGATTATTCGTGGTATAATATTTTAAAATACGAATTATTTTAGACAAATGTAATAATTTCCACGAACATATTTAAATTATCGAACTATAATATATTTCAAAATTTTAAATTAACAATTACAGAAGTATAAAGCTGTACAGCTACTTTTCAAAAATGACCACATACTTTATACTTTATATTATACTTGGAAAACTGCATGAGCGCAATTTCTTGTTTTTATACAATTATAACTATAATTATCAAAATAATTAGTAATTAAAGGAAAAAGAAATGTTTCATTAATATCATACCCATTTTGTACGAAACTCTTCCTTTAGAAGATTTTTTTCCATTTTCTTCAAATCTTCCTCATTTTTTAACGGTAGGCTTTCTGCAAATTTGCAAATGTCTACTGTTGTATCTGTCAATAATGCGTGTGATTCTTGTCTTATATTCTCGGTTGGTCTGTTTTTTTTTCAGTTCTTCAAGTTGTACTAAAATCTTATGTTGAAGAAACAGAATTTCCTGCATGTAAGCTATATAGAAAAAAAGTAATGTTTTAAAATAAAATGACATATTTCAACAAATCATAATTTAATAAACATCGCAGGTAATACAAATTAAATTAAAAAAGATGTAAGAAATAGTAATGTAAAAATTAAAAAATTAAAAAATTACCAATTTCAACAGGTTTGTCTTGTTGCTCCTCAATTTTTTTAAACATTTTCTTCAATGGATCCAGTTTTTGCATTGACGATGTCTTTAGTACGACACTTTCAAGAGCAATATTTGGTTCGGAATTTCCGTTTTTTGCAAATGCGCCATCGTCTTTCTCAATTTCTGATTTTTATGATAACAATCCAATATCATTAGAATGAACATAATGAAATTTAGAATATAAGAATAACATGTACCGTTAATATCATTCTCGTCATCACATTTTTGTGTCGGTGAATCAATAAATTGAAAATCTTGTTGGCTCATGTTATTCACAACAACATCGGATTTCCTGCTTTTACGCATAATGCTGCTACCTTTTGGATTTTTTGATTTTGGCATATTTTCTTCATTAGGTGCGATTGAAAATGATGGCAATACTTTAGATGTATTGCGTCTTTTGACTGGCAATGCATCAGAAGAATCACCATCGGAACCGTAAGCATCATCTGAATGTTGTATTTTAACTCGTATACGCCTACTTTTTTTATACTCTTCCGGAGTAATAGATTCTATATCAGAAAACTCCAGAGCCATTGCAACTTTATCAACTGCTTGTTCGTATGAACCTAAAAAAGAAAAAAAAAAATATATATATATATATGTAGAACAATTGTAATGTACAAATAGTTTTTAATTATTGAATTTGTATAAGGCGTGTTGTACGCATTATTTTTTTAAGTATACCTGCTTGTCCTACAATTTTCTTAATTTTACATTTTTTCCAGTCTTCTTTTGGCGACTCCATATTACAAATTGCTTTATTAATTTTTATTTGATTTTGGTAAAGAGGCCCAATAAGCTATTGTTCGATCACGATTAAGCCACGTAATTGGAATCATTTCAATCCCCTCGTCAAACTCCACAATTTTTATATTTTGAGGTCGTCATTGTCGACAAACGAATGCGTCCAAAACGTGATTCCAGCAACTAGATACTGTTATATAAACGCTATAAAATGTCATGACAGATGGTTAAACCTTAGAACATATATACTGGAAGGGGCATAGCCTATCTAAATATACATAACAAAAGTGTCCCCTACATCTATCTATCCTTGTCGGTACAAAATTGGTCAATGCGCTTGCGCGAATAAATAACCGCTTAAGTTGAAAGTAGAAAGATTTAAAATAAGTGGAAGGCATTTGAAAATTTGATTATAACAATTTATTCTTTAAGTTATATTATAATATAATTGCAATATATTATAAATTATATATAATAATATGTAGTAATATGTAATAATAGTCTTGCGAAATAAAATAAAAATAATGCACATAACCAAAAACAAATACTGTAATAAACAATAATTATATACAGGATGTACAGGATGAACTAAAATAAGATAACAAACTTTGAGGAGCGAGACCAAACATGAAAAAAAATTTGACATCAACATATGATATATATATGATATATACTTTTTATATTTCTAAATTAATTCAAGATATAACCTCAAAGCTAAGAGCTTTAAATTACAAAGTAAATCTATACTTACGCATGAAGAGATATTTTGCTACGGTTTGTTGAGTTACATAAAATGCAATAATGTCCCATTTTTACATATATTTTTATTACTTTATTACTATACCCGATACTATACTTTTTTATGATTATTTCTTTAGACTTGATTATATTGGAAAACTTGTCATAGATAAGCTTGTCTAGTTTGTCATCACACACATCAACATAATCGACGCATGCGTATTGCAATAAAATGTACAGACAAGGATAGATAGATGTTGAGGACAACGGCAAGTCAGCTATGCCCCTTCCAGTATATATGTTCTAAGGGTTAAACCGACAAATGAATAATATATATTCTCATAAAACACGTTTCCGATACCGGCTTGTAAATCTCTTAATATAAGTATGATGTTTACATAGCGGCGTCTTTGATATGCCGCGTCTTTGTTCTAGCGCGTTAGGACCGCCGTGACTTTGATCCGCCATTGCCTTGATTCGCCGCGTTTTTTGTGGTGGCCACCACTTTTCATATGCGACATCGACGAATCGCGGCATCTTAGACTGATAACCACCAATTGGATCAAATTAGAGGAGGTCCTAAGATCTCTTGGTGGCGGCGCGCATCTTTCCGTTTTTCAATATTCGCCTAGTAGCTCTCGAAGTGAACAGTCAGTCTTATACGAGTACGAAAATTATACGAATACGAGAATTATACGAGTACGTTACAAGTCCGGTGGAAACAGTTTGATTTTACGGGTCGGTATAGCCGAGGACTCAGGGTGAGTTTAGGCTCATCCCTAGGCGTTGTCCTTACAATATTATTCAATACAATCGGGGACTCAGGGTAACCTCAGGTTAACCCCTAGGCGTTGTCCTCGCAATATTTGATACAATCAGGGACTCAGGGTAACTTCAGGTTAACCCCTAGGCGTTATCCTCGCAATAACATATTTTGAGGAGAAGTGATTACTCATGTACTATAAGTGACACAAATAAACTTATTGTGAATCAGCAATTTTATTCATTGTTTGTGCCTTGCATTAAATAAAAACAGTGCGGACATTAAATTGTCCAAGCTGATCGGAACAGATACAGAAATAACACGAATATAATATGCAAAGTATATAATATATGACGAAAATACTAACCTTTCAAAAATCATGAGTGTTATGCAGTAATATATTGGTTTTCAATATAATTTACTTAAAGACTAAAAATTGATATTAATAATTTAAACATTTCGTCACAAAAAAATGTCCCTTTTTCTTATGTTAATAAAAAAGAAATGAAAGAAAAGAATTTACTTTATCGTTGAAAATTGAAAAATGGAGACAATTCCAATTGGAATAATAGGACTACAAAAAAAGACAACATTTCTTTATTATTTACGTCATAAATTTAACACCGCTAAATTATAAGTGTGACATACAGGAAATATACAGAATGTATTGTCATTGTACGGTATTCTACACAATTTTGCAGTAATTGCGTCACATTTCCAAGCCTTTACATCATTGTTTCTCTTAACTATGTGTATAGAAAATGTACTAGAGGTACATGGTTCGTAAAATAAATCGTCAGTTGATATTAATCGCTTTCCTATAACAAACGTAGTATCTCCACTCATTGCAAAATTCAGTGCTTCGACAAGTATTCCGTTAGATAACATTAAACAATTATCTCGGCCATTATTATTACAGTTGAAGAATAACTTGTCCTTATGCAAGATTTTGTACTGCGTATCAAATTGCGTATCGTTAGTAATAGGGCCGTCTGTATGTATTTTTTGAAGCGTTGAGCCGTTATTACTCGAACGTGTCTGAAGTGCATTTTGATACTCTATCAATCGTCGCGAAATTTGTTGTAAGGGTTTCTCACTCTTACGAATCATGCTCTTTATACATGAAATATAATTTTCAAACCTGAATGCACTGAAATTATCTAAGGCACCGTATTTTCTTACATCCTGCGCTAAGTGCGTCAAGTTATGAACATTATGGGATACACATCGTCTACCATAAATAATTTCAAATGAAGCCACAAAGTGATTTAATAATTGTTCTGCATAATCAACATACTGAGAATTCTGTGAATAGATAGGACTGACTAAAATTGTAATTGCAACATGCAATGTTAAAAAATTAGCATACATATCTTCTCTTAAAACATCTTTCAACACAACAGGGCCGGTATATAATAAAAATTGTCGAAACTCAGTTGCTTTCCAAAGCTTTAAAAATTTTAATGATCTTGGTAATCTAGCAAAGTCAGATGGTACACTTTTCCTGAATTCAATTAAAGCATCAGAAATTATATTACTTTGATTTACAGATAGCTTAATACCTAACGGTCCATGTAACCAAAGCAGTAACAATTTGCGCATAACACCTAAGCATACCATATGCATGTAGTCCAGAGGTACATTTGAAACTAAACCAAGAAAAGGTATTCTATTTAAAATTGTTTCATCGACTTGATAATTGCCTTTTGCCAGAATACATAAAATTTTTGAAGCTATCATCGGTTCTTAAATTTGTACTACGTTCGCTAGGAAAACATGTGACTCCTTCTATGCGTGTACCTACAATGTCACATTTCGTGCAGCTATTATAACCACTATGGTATTTTACATTTAAAATAAAAGCTTTCGCCGGAACATCGCAGATTAACGCATGAATTCTGACCTCATATTGAATTCCATTATATTCAATGCCATTAGTAACTAAATTTACTGCTTCATCTGTATACATTTCTAAAAATGAATTTGGGTTATCTGGCTTTCCTTCCCCATAATATACACCGATCATATGTACATCTCTGGACTCTGAATCAGAACATAAAATAGGCCACATATTATTTTCCGAAGATTTTCCTAATGGCGCGCCGTCGGTACTTATTAACAATTTAATGCATGGACTGTTACATTTTATGATAAGACGATTTTTAATG